ATACCACCTGAATTTCAGAATCATCTCAGGAACAGGTTTGAGGCCTTGAACACTAATGAGCGAAGACCAGATGAGTTGTGGGAGGATGTCAAAGATATCTAAATTGAATAGGTAGAGACAAAGAATACAGCCCTGACACCTTCCCTGATTTTAAACTATGCAGGATTCTCTTCATCTGTTTGCACAATAAAGAGCTTCTTGGTCTAGGTATAGGTTCACATGAGCATAATTAAGTATTGGAGGATTCCATTTTCAATGTTAGCCGTATTTGTCGTGATCCACAAAATCAAATGCCTTTCATTTGCAGTCAGTAAAGCACAAATAGACATTCTTAATCTGCTTTCAGACAAAATCTGTGTGATGTCAGAAATGATAATCCTAGTGTGACGACCTGTTTTCTATCCAGCTTGAATCTTTGAAAGTTCTGTCAATGTTCTGAAAAGTGTTACTGCCGTTTTTTAATCTTCGCAATATTTTACTTGCATGTGATAATCATAATTCCACAGTCTGTTTGATCAGGGTTTGGTTTGGTTTTGGTTTTTTTAGAGAAAGCTAAAAAACTTTATTAAGGGCGTTATCCAGGTGGGATTCATTGGTATTCAGAGAGACAGACCAGGAAAATACCACACCCTAAGATTAATTAGGGCAAGTTTTTATAGTAAGGGAAGAGAGGGACATTCCCTTGTGGTTTGGCCAGGTGGGTGGTCTTCTGGATAAGCTTTTTGAGGAATGGAACAAATACAGATCTCTTCAGTCAGTTAACCAGGCAGCTGTCTCCCAAATTTTGTGACGAAGACTGGCAAGCACATCAAGGACTGCATTTATTTGTTGAAACATATCAATTTGTATCCCATCAATTCCTGGGGCCTTATTTTTTGCCAATGCCTTCAATTCTATTTTTTTCTTGGTGATATTCTACTTCCTAAATGGTTTCATGTTGGACACTTCTTTTTGGTACAATGGTTCTGTGTGTTCTTCTAGGTCTTGATGCTTTCTGGATCATTCAAGATTTTCCCCAAAGCATCCTTCAGTATTGCAAGTTGGGGCTTGAATTTGTTCTTTGTGGTTTTTTTTCAGTTCTTTCAGCTTGAGAAATGCCAAGAGAATTTTTTCCTTTTTACTTCAGCTATTTGCATATTTTATTATAATAAAAATCTGTTTTGAAATCTGTTCATATCTTTTATTCCGTTGTTAGGCTTCTTGATATTCTAGAGCAATTTTCAGAGTTTCTTTTGACATTCAGTTTGGTCTTTCTCCTGTCTTTTGTAATAACTTGCTTTCTTCATGGATGGATATCATGTTCAATGCTTCAAACATGTTCTTGAGATAGTTTTTAAATTTAGGTGGGATAGACTCACTCAAGTTCATGTTTTGGTTCTTGTGGACTTGTTTTCATTTTCTTCAGCTTGAATTTGTACAAGAGTGATTGGTAGTCTGTTCCACAGTCAGCACCTGGCCTGGTTTTGACTGCGGATAGCTTTAACGATTCTTTGTCCTGATAGTCAATCTGATTCCCTTGTAGTTCATCATCTGAGATCCATATGTATAGTCACTGTTTTTTGGTTTTTTTAATAAGTTGTTTGCAGTGAATAAATAATTCATAGTACAAAATTCAGTCTTTGAATCTCTAGTCTCAGTGCATTCCTAACAACTGTTGTTGCTCCCTGTCATCAAGTCACCTATGACCTATAGCGACCCTATGTACAACAGCCCTAAACCCTGCTCTATCCTGTGCCAATCACACTGTATGACACACCTACCCTCATTAACCCACTCAGTCAATCATTCCATCTCATTGAGGATCTTTTTCTCCTGTGCTGTCCCTCTACCCTCCCTCTTTCCAAGTCCTCTTCAAGGAATGTCTGGTCCCTCCTTGCAACATGTCCAAAGTATGTCAGACGAAGCTTCAGAATCCTTTCCTCCAAGGAGTAGTCTGGTTTCACCCTCTCCAGGATGAACCTATTCTCTTAGCATTCCGTAGTATATTCAGTACTCCTCTCCAGCATCACAGCTCAAAGGCATCCATTCTCCTATCATCCCTAGTCATTGTCCAGCTCTCTGATGCATAGCAAGTGATTGCAAAGACCATGGCCTGTGTCGGGTGCACCTTAATCTCCAGACTGACATTGCTCTTCAGTACTTTGGAGAGGGTGGCATAATCACTTGTGTGATTTATTTTTTTATTTATATCTGTTGGCAATATGTATTACATACAATTTATAATTGTTCATAATTTGCTGTTGTCATTCTCCAGTGTTTTACTTGCAGGGGAAAAGGCAGTAATAGTGAAAACAAATATTTTACTTACATCAGAACCCCCCATCTAAAAGGACTATGATGGTCTTCCTTGCTCTGCTATGATCTCCATAAGAGCAAGGTATTGTTCACTTTCTCAGAATATTAAAACAGTAACCAGTGCTTATTAGGTGCTCAGTAGATACTTGCTGAATAAATAAATGCCTACATTTGTCTTTGAGTTACAATCCATTGTGAGATTGGTTATTGGTTATGGTAAAAATATCAACTCTCAGTGTTAGTTATCCCTCCCTGGTTGTGTGCCATCAAGTCACAGGCAATTCATTGCTGATGCTCCAGCTGGTTTGCAGAGTCTGTAAATCACACAGAGACAGCCCTTCTTTCTCCCTTAGAGCAGCTACTGGATTAAAACTACCTGCCTTAGACTTGGCAGTGCAATTCCTCACCCACTGGCCACCAGAACTCCCAAGATGCCTCTTAGGTGAGATAAAGTAATATTGAACCACTAGTCCCAGACAAACATTTTTCCAAGTGGTATAACACTGGCCTGTCCATTTGCTGTACGGAGGTAACTTGTGGTTGTGGTGATGCTGAACACGTGACACTGATGTGTCAAATGCGATAATGGTTACCCTTGGCGGACAGTGTTTGGTAGAGCTCCCTGATTAAAACAAGCTTGGAAGCAGGAGTGGCATCCACTTCCAAAATAGCTTGCCTCCAGAAACCCTGTGGACCTGGAGAAACAATGAAAGCTATATAGGTGTCTTCATAGGGTCGCTATGAGTTGTCTGTGACTCGAGGGCACTTAACAAAAACAATAACAGTCTCAGACCCTATCCTTTACAATTTGGTATCACATTGTGAGAGGACATATAAAGATGATACTGAAGTTAAACACTGAAGTTTTCAAATCTAATAGTAGGAAAGTTGTTTTTATTCCCTAAACCCAGACCATGTGTCTCAGAATCTACAGACATGGAGATTTCATTCACCCTTGATCACTTCTGTCTGTACTTTTAGGGCAGCCTGAATTATCTCTGATAAATATATATCAGGAAATTTTAATGTTTCCCTGTTAACAGTGGAGCTGTAAAGGAGAATAAACATGTAAAAGTAAAATACTCTGAAGAAGTAATTGGTTTATAATTCAGTGATTGGAAAAAATTGAGAACCACCCTACCTCAAGCAAAGAGATGGGAATTTGGAAAGATTAATTAGGTAATGTAAGTCTAACAACTAGAGAGGACAACTTATAGGGATGAAAATCACAATAAAAACATTTCTTAGAAAGTGTATTGTATTCCATTGGGAAGTAAGATTCACCAAAGCCTGAATGAGAAAGGTCTAATCAAACTTGTTCCAATAGCAGCTCAAGTTTTCTGACAGGGCTCTGGAACATCATGACTCAGGCTAGGGGAGTACTAGTGCACTGAGGATTGAGATGGGTGAGACCTAAACCTGAGAGCCTTTCTGGAAGAGGGTCTACCCAGCTTTGGCAGCTGCCTTCTCTAGAAGAGGCCACCAGGATTGTTATAAGGAACATAAAAGTGATAAATCTTCATACTGCTTCAGCCCATGTTGTGTGTGTGTACCCAACTCCTCATCTGACACTTCAAACACAAAGTTCAAAGGTAAGAGAAATAAGCTTGGTAGGATCTTGCCCAACCCCTATTAAGTAGTACAGCTGAGATTAATCACCTTCCCTTGAGAAGAAAAACACATCAAAGGATTTCTGTAGAGTATTTTATATAGCAGATAGATAAGACCTGGAGATTGGAGACCTACAAGCTAAATTACAGCTTTCCCTCATTTACTGCCTCAAGGCAAACACAAATAGAGCCTCTAAATGCCAGGTGTGGCCTTTATTGTCCCAACTCTAGACTTAAGGTTGAGATGTACCCCTAGGAAGTGCGAATGAAGGAAATCTCCCTTACCAGTCCCACCCTTCTGGATCAGGTCAATCTGTGGCCTCCATCTTGGTCCCCCGGGACACCAGGAAGATGGCCCCATCTGCAGCTTGTTGCAAGGCATACTCCTCAGGGGAGTAACTGTTGCCTGCTGCATCACGCAAGTGTTGGAAGATGTCCCGGTACAACTCGGTCAGCTGCTGGCGCATGGCCTCCAAGGTCCGGTCGGCCTCTCCGCGCGCCCGGAGAAGCCGCTCGCGCTCACTGCCCAGCCGCTCCAGTTCTCGCTCCAGCTGCACGATCGTCTCCAGCTTCCTCTTACGGCAGTTCTGGGCGGCCACCTTGTTTTTGCCCCGCCTTCGGATGTCTCTGACTAGCGCCAACTGGCTCTCCGTCAGTGGGTACCGAGCCAACAACTCGTTAAAGTCATCTACTGGCAAGTTGACAATCTTATCCGTAGGAAAAGGAATCTTCATGGCCAGGGCCCGGCGCTCATCTCGACTCCCTGACTCTCGTGCACTGGGCTTGACCCGCACAGGGCCTGAGGAGGGCTCTAATGCCAAGGGTGTCTCAGTAGGTGGCAAAGAGTAGTTGGGATGGGCCAAGGAGTTGGACATAAGTGCATAGGGGTACTCCACTGGGTACATCTCTACATACTCACTGTGCCGCCGTCCAGCCTCTGTCCCCTCCAATTCAAGAGATTCAGCATCACTGTAGTTGAGGGATAGTCCTGAGTCTGATTCTGGGTCTTCCTGGGGCTTGGGTGTTCCCCCAGGCAGTCCAATGTCAAGGAGGGCCAAAGGGTCTGAGAGGGGCTCACTAAGCAGGCCTGAGAGAGTCAGTGGCTTAGAGACTGGTATAGTCATGTTGCCATAGGAGTATGGAGGTTCTGGGGCGTGAGATGTGGATGCCGGGAGCTCACAAGATGGTGGAGGAAGGGAGAAGCCAGCATCAGGGTGAACTGAGCAGGGGCAGTAAGTTGAGGGTGGTGGGGGCCCAAGGTATGGGGCTGGGACTGGGGTTGATGGCTCAAAAAATGCCTCATTTGGAGCATTTAAGCCCTGTAAGAAAAACAGAACAGACACTAAAATAGCCTCTTGTACAATTGGTCTCAAATAGTCTTCAAATTGTTGCCCATACACTAGTTCTTTCTTAGGGCCAACCTGGGTCCATCAGAAAGATCCAGTAAGAATAGTAACAAGAGAATAGAATGGTGCTAAAAATCATTCGAAGCTTCTTATAAACCTGTAATGCATCTGTTCTAAGAAGAAACAGTTTAAGGGACTGAGTTGAAATGGGTTGTTTGGGGTTTTTTTGGTTTTTTTTGGGTTTTTTTTCATTTCCTTTAGGAAGATAAGGAGCTGCTGCGATCCAAAATAATCTTGCAAGATCTTTTTCTGCTGGGGTTATCTAGGGTCAAGCTCAGGCCCTGACCTTGCTCTGGGTGCCCAGCAGAGGGAGCTGCTATATGGGAGGAAGCCTTGGGGTAGATCCTGAAGCCTCCAGGTTTAATGACAGGGGAGGGAGAAGGGGTAGGGCAGGCAGAACCAGGAGCTGATTGCTGAGAAGCACCTTAGTGAGCCCAGCCTAAACTCTGCCCTCTCGTCAGTCTTTCTCTGTCTCTTTCCAGCTTCAGAAAAGAGGAGAGAACATTCTGGAAACAGGGCCCCCAACCCACATCAAGAGAGTCACCCTGCTGTGGCCCAGCGGAGGACAAAGCCATCTTTGTTCTGCCAACAGACACCCCTTTGTCCAACTAGCAGAAGCTGAGGACCCCAGCATAGTCTCTGGTTCCCCTTTCTGAGGCCCCTGAACTACTACTGCTCTGTTACCTGGAGGGAAGGGCCCTGCTGCTAAGAGCAGGGCAGTGAAAGAGGGAAGATGAACAGGGAGCAGGAAAGAAAGGTCAAAAGACTAGGTGAAAAGGGGAGGATGGAGATGGACAAAGGAGAGTGTGTGGGACAAGAGGTGGAGTGGAGAGATGTGAGCAGAGTTTCTGCTGAGAGCCTATTGCCTCAGTCAGATCCTTCTCCATCACTCCTATTCCCTTTTCAATGTTCTGGGCCTCAGAGATCACCCTCATACTCCAGCTCACCCTTCTGCAGTGCATTTTCAGTCTGAGATCCTGTTCCCTGTCAGAGTCTCAGCCTGAGCCCTTGCTTCACCACTCCTCTTGTTCATTGTCCTTCCACTCCCCTTACTCACCTGCAGCTCAGTGATGGACATGATCTCTTGCCAAGTCAGTTCCATCTCACCCAGCTCCAGAGTTGGAAGCTGTGTCACCCTGTTCCTGCTCTGCTGGGGGGGACACGGGGGCATCCTACTAGGCCGAGGCCTAGGTCAGGTTCCCCCAAAGCCCAAATGGCCCCTAGCAATCTGTGGGGAAACAAGCAAACAAGTTAAGGTCTCTACTCTTAAGAGTCCTCCCTCCATGGAAAGATTCCCTCTAGCTTTACCAAAGAGAAGGAAAGATCTTAACTGTACAGGCAGTTTATCTGGGAACACAGTAGGTCTTTGTCTTTCATTCAAGAGAACCTCTCTTTTCTTCTACCTATTACCACCCAAAACTAGCCAGGGGCAGAAACAGAACTTCTGGGAGTGTTGTTTGATTTGGGTTTTGGGGTTTGGTTTTATCTTTTGTTTTCTAGAGGAACATCCTTGCTTTCTTCATTCTCTATTTTAGGGTCTCTGCCTTTCCTTCCCAAATTGAAAATAAGTACTTGGGGATCCCAAAGGAATGTATTGTGAGAAGAGTCAAGCAGACATCCCTTCCCCCTCCCTGAGATAGGGACCAGGCCTGGTGCCTGATAGCAGCCCTGCCCTATCCCTCTATCCTGGTCCTGGGCTCCCCTGCCTGGTCCAGATAAGAGGTTTATCAGCTGCATGCAGCAGGGAAGGAATGGGCTCTGGAGACACTGAACCTCTCTGTCTTGTATCCCCACAGGGTCATCATGGCAATACCTCAATACACAGCAAGGGGTCTTTCTTCTGAGGTAATAAAACAACCATAGCAAAGACTTACTAAGAACTTTGTCCAGAACTATGTTGGTATTTTACAGGCATTAGTTCATAAGATAGATTTTTCACAAAGGTCTTATAAGTTCTATTCAGGAATTGAGACCCAAGCTCAAAAATGGTCAGCTCTAAAACCCATACTGGTTAGCTCTACTCTCCTATAGAGCCTATAGATGGCTTCTCATGCTATTCTGTGTTTCTGTAATCTACAATTGATCTGTAGCAATCAATTTTTTTGGTTGGGGACTATCTTCTCTTTGGGGGAGTCTATCTTCTGAGCCTTGAATATATCTCCTACTCTCTCCTAGCAGCTCTAGCTGCAGGTCTGTCACAAAGCAGTAGTGCGGTACTGGGGAGTCATCTTGCGTCTCTGGATTTCTATTTCCTCATTAATAAAATGAAATTTAACAAGATGTACTCAAAGATCTCTTTCTGCTTCAACAGCATAGTGTTGTTAGCGGCCTGTCACCCCTGCCTTCACCTTCTCCTTTCTGTCAGGCCTCTTCTTGTTCTACCTTCTTATCTTCCCAGCATCTGTTCCTCCTGTGTTAAGCAAGAGATTCCTGGAAGTTTTGGAAGAGGCTTCTTGAACTGTGGGCCAGACCCCACAGACATGCCTGTCTGTCATATAATCAAAGACAATCAGGCTGGAGACAGATGGGAGGAACTTGTAGAAGGACACTGGATAGGACTGGATGGCCTCAAATGGTATAGCTTTAGAATGAGAGAGAGAGAAACACTATAAGACAAGCCAATGGCTCATCACAGCTATTTAAAATGGATTCTACTCTCTGATTTACCACAAAATCATTAACTCATTACCCACTTCCTATGCTGCTTCTGTTTCTATACTTCAAGATTATATCCGTTGTTGTTGTTAGGTACCATCGAGTTGAGTATGACCCATGGTGACCTTATGAAAAACAAATCTGAACCCTGTCCTATCCTGTGCCATCCTAACACCTCTTAACACACTAGAGCCCATTGCGGCAGTCATTGTCTCAGTCTACCTCATTGAGAGTCTTCTCTTTCACTGATCCTCCAACTTTCTAAGTGTGATGTTGCTCTCCAAGCAACATGCCCGAAGTACATGAGACAAAGCTTCAACATTTTTGCCTACAAGGAGCAATCTGGCTACACTTTCTCCAAGACATATTTGTTCCTTTCTCAGTCCATGGGATATTTGGTACTCTTCTCTAATACTACAGCTCAAAGGCATCAATTCTTTTGTCATTCTTATTCATTGTCCAGCTCTCGGATGCATAGCAAGAAATCAGAAAGACCATGGCCTGAATCAGATGCACCTTAGTCCTCAAACTGACATCATTACTCTTCAATAATTTGGAGAGGTCCCTGACTGTAGACTTTCACAATGCAATAAGTCTCCTGATTTCCTGACTGTTGGTACCAACAGTATTGATTGTGGATCCAAGTAAGATGAATTTTTTTTAAAGATGAAATTATTGACAACTTCAGTCTTTTCTCCATCTATCATGATGTTGCCTATCAGTCGAGTGGTAAGAATTTTTGTTTTGCTTTCTTTTTTTAAAATTTTTGTTTCTTGACATTGAGATTCAATTTATATTGAAGCCGATGAACAAAAATTTGTGTCAATTTCGTTTGTACCAATTAACTATAAGTTGATTTTTAACTCATTATGACTTCACAGGATAGAATAAAACTTCTCCATAGAGTTTCCAAAGCTATAATCTCTAAAAAAGCAGATTGCATCCTACTCCCAAGAAGTAGATGGTGAGTTCAAACTATTGTCCTTTTGGTAGACCAACTCTTAACCTGCTATACTACCAAAGATCTTCTATAATCAGTGTCAACTAAAAATTATCCTTTCAAGAGGATCTTCCCTAACTCCACCCTCTTGTTACATCGCCATCCCAAGAACTGAAAGTTGGTATAGGCATAGACTCTTGGCCATTGGGCAGAGTGGGTGGAGTGTTTATGTCTGCCCAGGACGCCATTTCAACACAGGAACCCCACCCTCCCCACCCAGGTTCTGCCGGAAATTGCCCAAAGGCAAAGTGAATGGAGAACAGAGTTGGGGGTTGGGACAATGCCTCTTGCTTCATAATATTCACCTCCCTGCTTTGTGCTTCCATCTTCCTTGAGAATAACACAGGACAGGGCAAGGTTTCCATCTGTTGTTCATAAGGTTGCTATGAGTTGTAGTCAACTCAATGGCACCTAACAACAGCTATCTTGCTGAACTTGACTATAAGGTGTAATACAAAGATTCTGCCCTAGGAGGCAGGGAACCATAGTCTCATGCCTTCCGGCTGCACATGACCTTGGAAAAACAGCTTCATAATTTTGGATCTTTCACTATCAGTCTCTTCCATTAAAAGGAGATAGGCCTAGAGAATGTCATTAGTAAATGGGGCAATAAGACTGCATATAGCTTAGGGAATCACAAACTTTAATATACTCCCTGTTCTGCCTCAGAATATTTAAAAATTCTCAGATTCCTGCAGACTGTCCTAGGCCAACTGAACAAAATTCACTAGTGCTTGTACCAGGAATCAGCATTTTAATCGCCCCAGAAATATTGAACAGGTTCAAATGTGTATGGATTCGCAGAAAAGAACACAAGACAGAATGTAGACTGGGAAATGCTCTCTAGACTTTTTCTAGCATTCAACCTTTGATTCAGGCAAGGTTGGATTCCAGTTTGTTCTAGTCTCTGAGGCTAAATATAATCCACTTCTCATCTAACCCAGAAGCTCAGTCTCCCTTTCTGTGCCACACAAATGAGAACTTAGGAGAGGAGTGAAGGCAGCAGAGAGGGAGTTGAGGAGAATCTCTGAATTAGCTCCAACTAGTTTCCTGATGCTGCAGCAAGTGCACAGCAGGTTAAATGGGAGAAGTCTGTTTTTCCCTTTATACTAAGGAATGCTTGGTGGTCTATTCATTATGCAGAAGCCCCTCTGGATCTTAGGAGACTACCTTTTACAGGATAGGAAGCTGGAAGCAAATGGGATGTATCAGTGAAGTCAGAATGGGATCAGACAGACTATCAGAGTTTACAAGAATTAAAGAGACACTGAGAAATGAGAAAGGGGAGCAAGTCTGCAAGGAGCTGATCTGACTGATATACTCCTGTGTCTCTTTTCTTTAAAATAAGCAATTCCCACTTCACTGTTTAGTCTACATTCTGAGGTCACATAGTCTCAATGGGTTGCTATTCCTTCTCTTATTCTCCAATATCTTGGATCATGTAAGACTGGTACAATCTCTAGTGCCTACCATCCATTCTCCTCCCTTGCACCTTGATAGCCCTATCCAGAATTATTTTATCACCATCTCCAAGTATTGGAGTTTTAGGCTACTGTACAGGTACACTATGAGAATTATTTAGAGAGGATGCTCTGTGGAAGAAGTTATTCAGCTTGGGGCTCTAACTTCCTTGAAAAATAACCAAGTGGCAGAACAAGCAGAATAACAGACTTATCAAACTACCCTACCATGTGGGTATCAGGGCCAAGAGTGGATACAGAGAGATCAGGAAAATGGGAATATGAAGTATCAGGTGAGCAACCTTTTTTAGAATGACTGGGGAGAACCCGGCAGCAACAGAAGCACACAGAAGACACCTAGAGAAATAGAATGGAGAACCAGGGAAGAGAAATATTTGATCAGAGCAAGAGCCAGATGCCTGGGACATATATGAGTCAGATCAGTAGATGGGAACAAGAGGGGATAAGCTTCTACTATTCTGTCACCTCATCCTTTTACCCCAAAATCTAAACCTTTGGGATTGAATGACAAGAGAATCTCAGCCCCCAGTATAGCTTCCTTTCTGCTGTTTCTCAGCCACCCCATCTCTAAAGCTGTCAATAGCTCCAGTTGTGAAGAAACTACATTGGGATTGGATGATTTCCTCTCCCTTCAAGTTCCAGTTGATCTCTGCTACCCCTGGGTCCAGAGAAGAGAAAGGACAAGGCAAGAATCTAGTACCTCGTGCTCAATCACCCTATAATGAATACTATTTAGAGATCTAGGCACCCCACGTCCCCAGATCCTCGGTATTCCCCAGAAGTCTGGGCCAGGCAGAGTCACGGAATAGGGTGGAAGAAGGATGACACCATATGTCTGAGAGTCTCCTGGCTACCCCAGAGTGTTCAGACTGTTGGAAGGATCCTCTCCATGTTTCCCAACCCCTTTAGGGTCTCTAGGGGAACCATTGTTTGGTACTCATCTACAGCCCATCAAAGACCCCAGTGTTCAAAAAAATAATGTAGATTTTTGTCCCATAGAAGTTTCCAACAATGTCAAAGTCCTAAACCAGAGGCCACCTGGAAACGCCCAAGATCTACTAGAAATATGCCGAACATGGGTTATTTTCCTCCCT